AGCTCTGACACTTTCTGTACATGTACAGGGACAGCATGATACAGGAGCTTTTATATATGGATGCAGATATATAGTCTGTCTGTGTCTGTGTGTGTGCGTGTGGGGCAGGGGAGGGCATCCAGGGCATTCTTCACACATGCCAGGCAAAAGCTCTACCACTGACCTACATCCCTAGAAACTTGCTGTGTAGACTAGGCTGGCCCCAAACTCACAGAGATCCACCTGCCTCTGTCTTCCAAGTGCTGCAGTTAAGGTGTGTGGCACCTCGCCTGGCCAGAGCTTATCTTCCTCAACAATCTGCACTGCTACCCGTGGAAAGACTCCTCTGTTTGGAGGTGCTCTCACTCCTTATTTAATCCTCATTCCAGTCTTTGTTTCCTCTTTGCTTAATCCTCATTCCAGTCCAGTGTGGAAGATAACTGTTGCTCCCTCTCCCTCTTTTACAGGAGGGGAGAGTTCCGGCTATGGGAGGAAATGACTTGTCTGACATAGAGTGAGGACAAAGGAGAATCCCCAGGGCAGCTGGGTTTAGGAGATATGGGAGAGAAGGGAAAGGGGAGGGTGGGAGTTGTCTTTGAAAGGACGAGAAAAGAGGGACTAGTGAGCAGTAATGCAAGGTGGCCTGAGGGAGGGCCTGCAACCCTCCTGAGGAGGCCACAGGAAAAGGTTAGGCTGACCCCACACCTAGCCCTGAGCAATTAACATACGGGAGAATGTTATATGTAGGAAAATGACTGTTTTCCCAACCCCATATATTTATGACAGCACAGGTAGTGGCACTGTGACTCTGGGAGAGGTTTTCTTTTCTTTTTTTTAATCTTGTATTTATTGATTGATTGTTTTTGTTTTGTTCTGTTTTTGTTTTTGTTTTTTGGGGGGTTGGGTTTTTTTTGTTTTGTTTTGTTTTGGTTTGGTTTTTTGTTGTTGTTTTTGAGACAGGGTTTCATTGTGTAAAGCTGTCCTGTACTCACTTTGTAGACTAGGCTGGCCTCAAACTCACAGAGATCCTCCAGCCTCTGTCTTCTGAGTACTGGGATTAAAGACATTCGAGGTTTTCAATTGTGAATCCAGGCAAGCAATAGGTGGCTGCTTCTTGAATTATTTCTACTCCTTTGTATGTTTAAACTCATGATAATAGAGCTGGAGAGATGGCTCAGAGGTTAAGAGTGCTGGCTGCTCTTCCAGAGGTCAATTCCCAGCCACCACACGGTGGCTCACAGCCAACTGTAAGAGATCTGGTGCCCTCTTCTGACATGAAGGTGTAATGTGGGAAGACCACTGTGTACATAATAAATCAATAAATCTTTAAAAAATAAAATAAAATCATGATAATAATAAATAACGAGGACGGGGGCTGGAGAAATGCCTCAGCCTCTTAAGAGCACTGGCTGTTCTTTCGGGGGGTTTTGCCCCATATGGCAGCTCGCAACTGTCTGTAACTCCAGTTCCAGGGATCTGATGCCCTCTTTTAGTCTCAATGGCACTACACACATATGCACAGACATGTACACAAACACACATACACATAAAATAAAAATAATTTTTAAGAATCAATGGGCTGGTGAGATGCTCAGCAGGTCAAAGTGTTTGCCATGCAAGCCTGGACTATCTGACTTTGATCACTGGAATCCACAGTGGAAGCAGAGAACCAACTCCTGAAGGTTGTTCTCTGACACCCCCACACACACTCACACAGACACACACACACACACACACACACACACACTATAGACATACTAACAATAAATAATGAAATAATAGTGACAACTGAATCTTTAGCCATCATTCTATCCATGTGGGCAAGATGAGTGTGCTTAATAGGTGGGGTTGAGGCCCTGGTGGCCATCTGGGCCAACAGGGGTCCAGAATTATGACAGTCTCCTGGGAGAATCCTGGGCAGGACCTGCCACATGGGCAAAACATGAAACCTCTTACCCGACAGTTTGCTTCTGTGTTTGCGCTCTGCTGAGCTCTTTGCCTCTGTGCACACCTATGGCGGCAAAGAATCAGGAACAGGGACTGGAGAGCTGGCTCAGAGAAAAGCGCACTTGCTGCACGTGCAGAGGACCCAGCAATTCCCAACACCTACAAGGCGGAGCACCAGCATCCATAACTCCACTCCCAGAGGGTCCAATGCCCTCTTCCAGCCTCCATGGGCACCAGACACCAGGGACACAGTACACAGAAGTACAGGCAGACAAGACACTCATACACTGTACGTTAAATAAAATACTTCTAAAATTAAGAAAGCCAGGCATGGTGGTGCACGCCTTTAAACCCAGCACTTGAGGAAGCAGAGGCAGGCGGATCTCTGTGAGTTCAAAGCCATCCTGGTCTACAGAGTGAGTCCAGGACAGCCAGGCTAAAAAATTACTCAGGCTCAAGTGTGTGTGTGTGTGTGTGTGTGTGTGTGTGTGTGTGTGTGTGTGTGT